AGTGGCATTTTTATAAAGATTTCAAAAGTGGCATTTTTGTAAAGTGGCACTTGGAATGTGACATTTTTTGTAAAGTGACATTTGAAAAAGTGGCATTTTTGTAAAGTGGCACTTGAAATGTGGTATTTTTTGAAATTTCATGCGTTATCATATAATCACTCAGCTATGCTAATCAAAAATAGAAAAAGTACCACCGCTAAACCAGAAGGAAAACGAAAATTTAATTTAAGGGAGGAGTCGCCAACCAAATAAGTTTTTCGTAAACTCGAAAGTCCAAGTCTTACTCATCATGATTTGCTACGGAATGATTGAGCGAGACTTAAGTAAAGGGATCGTTTTCCAGTTTGAAAGCCTCCATACTGTTATGGTCCTGCTCGAGAAAAATGGGCGAAGCTGCAATACACATTTTATGGAGTCAAAGCACTTAAAAAGATGTTGGAAAATTTTTACTTTTGTCCTTAAGTGTGAATAAACATGATTTACAGCATCGCGAGTTGAAACTAAAGCCTCTGAGAGGAAACCATCAGTGAAAAGTAACGTAAAATAGTATCCGAACCAAAACTAAAGAGATCAAAACAACATAAAAGCTGGTGTTTTTGGAATTGAGAAGAGAAAGAGACATCTTCAATTTCATAACGCTTGCCGATGTAAATAATAAGAACACGACATGCAACTAACAAAGTTTTCGAAACATAATCAAACAGCAATTTGGAGCGAAAATAATGATAAGGAAATTCACATCATACAATGAACAAAACCAAATCGAAAGGAAGAACATCCATATCTCTCGGAGAAATAGTAGGGAGATGGAGTAATTCAACAAAATTGGAGTAGTGAAAATGTTGTCAATAGAGTTTAATGACGATATTGGTTTGTGATCGAACATATGATTCAACTATCAGATCACAACACAATGAATTTAAGGGTTTACAGAGAGAATTAGGGGAGAGCCGAAGAGGCTGATATTAGAGAAACCGTAGGAAGGCGATAAGACCGTAAGATGAAATTCTGCACTAAAATTTTATATGTGAATTTGGAGAACAGACTTTGGTCCTAATAAATATCTATAAACATGACGGGAAAAGAAGAGTAAATCGGAGCTGGATTTATATTGATGTGAATCGAATATACAATAAAATCTTGAGT